TTAAATGGAAAGCGTGAAGCGTGAAGCCACCTTCGAATAATGATAAACTCCCTGATGGTTCAATTTCAACTGGTTGCTGTGCCATTTTGTTTGTATCCAGTTATCCTCCGGGGAGGACAAAGTAATTTCGTGAATAGTATCCCATGCTGAAACACAGCCTACCAGGATGGAACTCAAACTAATCAATCGATCCAGGTTCCTACGAATTATTAATCAGGCCACGTGACCGTAGATACTATCAGGAGTTAAACAGTTCTTTTCCTTATCTTTTATAAGGCATCTGCCCATGATTGCGGCACAGCTCAGAGGCCGTGTGCATCTAAAGCATAAGGAGTTTATCAATCAGCAACATCTCCTCGTCTTCTCGCACATCTTGGGAGTTCTGGATCTTCTAAGACCGCATATCTTCAGATATGACAAGGTTTGAAACTCACAACATACCTCTTTGTATCTGAGCAGTTAGATTTAAAGGCCGGCCATACGAGATGACGAGTCACCGCGGATCATTTTATAGTTACCTTTCCCTCATTGTATAAATTGAAACCCGTTTTTTACCCGTCTGCAGGGTAAAGTGGTTTTCACGATCATCTTTGCACAGGTGGCGAATTTCCTCTGACTGGAACTTTCTGTTGCATTGTACCGTTGCATTGTATTTCGATGATGGAGCAAACTACTGTTTGATTCGATATAACATCTTGGAAAAAATTTCGCCGAGCACCTAGCTGTCGTATTATTAGTGCTGCCTTCAGTGTTCTTGTGGTACCTCTTATAGAGAAAATGAAGTAAGGTGTAAGAATGATAGTTTTTTCTTCAGACTTCAACATGCGAACCCAGACGATAAACGGAAAAGTACCCACGAGCACTTACCCAGGTTAACATTATGTTCTCCACTTACAGACTAGTTAAGCCTTGATCGCTTTTCGCCTGGGGTTTAAATGCTGTCACTGTTAGACGCATTAGTCAAACAGCTTAAGTCACAAAGCTCTCTCAAGAGTGCGGTTTTCAACTACAAAACATCTTTTTCATTATTTTTTTTACACAGCTCATTCAAGAAGGCTTGAGGGACACCTTACAAGCGTACTTTGGCCTTATTCAGGTATGAGTGAAGAATGTTTTGTGTAGCGTTTTAAAAGCATTTTCAGAGAGACATTGCGCAGTCAATAATAAGGAGAGTTTCTTTGACATCCTCATGCACAGTTTTGGTTCTTTCTCAGGGTGAGTGTCTTCATCACAAAGAGCTGGCCGCGGTTGTTACAAAGTTGATGCCTTTTCTTCAGCATTTCTGTGCAGAATGTCCTGATCAAGCTTCTACAGTTCTTCAGAAGAGAGTCTCATTGTTCCAGTAAGTGTCTGGACTATTTAAAACACACTTTGTGTTTTCTCAAAATCTGTTTATTTTATTGCGAAGTGTTGAATTTCCGTCTATGTACACTCTATCAACTTAATGAGCGGATTTCTTCGAATAAAAATCCTAATATAAATCCCAATTTTTGTGTTACTGTTGAAGGGACCTGTTACAAGAGTTCCCTGCCCTCCCCTCCCTTCAAAGTGTAGTGAGCGCCATCTCACTTTCCTCGAGCCCGCACTCAGATGATCCCTTGACCCACGTCAGCGTTACTCTAGGACCATCATCGGAAGGAGCTCCATCAAGTAAACAACTTAAGGTCCGGTCTGTTATTACACCACCTGAGAGCATATCGTGGTCATCAGCACAGCTCGCTCCTTTTGTACAGCGGCTTACTCCTGGACAGCCCCTTGATGGTAGAGTAGATCTCTTGCATTCATCTTCAAACTTTTCCACAGTTGTCCATTCGAGTGGTTACATAAAAATGCTCTTTATTAAGAAAAATCCAGCTACTTGACTCGAGTTTGCCCTCGTTTCTTTCGTGCTGCAGATGTGTTAAAGGTTCTTGGTGACTTGGATGAAACGTCTAAAAGAAGAGTAGACATTTTGGATCATTTTGTGGTGAGTTCCAATCTTGTTAAAAGGGACAGGCAGTTTTCGAAATCGAACTGTAGTTGTATGACAAGCTTTAGAGTCGTTTTGGTCGTTTTCCCAGAACAATGGCAAGGTTAAGATTTAATCGATTTGCTTACGGTTTGATTTCAATGAAAAGGCAATTTCCTTTTTTTATCTTCTGTTTGTTTTCAGCCTCATCTGGTTCGACTTCTCTCTGATGCAACGAGTACCTGTCGGACCCAGGCGCACACTCTACTACTACGGCACATTCGGCAGAGCCCAGGGTATGTTTCCTAATCAGTTTCCTATCCAGTACTCTCTAAAGCGAAGGAAAGTGAACGGAAAACTGAGAGACTGTGACTGTTCATACTAACAGCCTTTTCAAGGCAATGTATTGTTTTCTTTCTCCCGGTTTAATAGGTGTACTTTACGTCATTGCTTTCTCGCGCGTTCATTTCAGTTAACTTGTCTTATACTCCCAAGTGGAATTAAGTTCTGAGATAGATAATTTTCTGGCCAAAAAGCATGAAAAATGAAATAGCGAGGGTCAATCCTTGACATTTTCATTCGATGTTCAGCGGACTAACCATTTTTCGCTCATGTCTCTTGTGCATCGGTGGAGCACGTCGGGTGTGGGTCCAGGATTTTTATGTCTCTGTTGAAGGCGGAATTGCGAGTTTCGATTACGCTTTTTGGATCAGTGCCTCTTCTCCAAATTTGTCCTTTGTCTTGTTTAAAGAGTCGGTTTCGACCGCCACGGATTCGGCGTCTGTAGGACGGAATGTAGAGATCGAGCTTGTTCATGAGGTTATCGGATTCCACCATATCTTAACCAACTATATTATCAACCACCAACGTCGTCCTATGTTTTTGACGCGCTTCTACGCTTGAATTACTCGCAGCCGGGTAGAAGGAAGTGACTGCAGTTATAACTTGTATTATACAATCAAACTCATTCAAGCTCAACCATATACTCTGCACGTGTTTTTCTGATAGGACGGCTGTTAAGTTTGTAGAGACATACATGGATTGTCTTAATTCAACGGAGCCGGACGTGATTTTGACGGCCTCAAAATTCCTGCCCGAATTTATTGTTCTGTGTAACGGTAAGTACGGGAAATCGCATCAACGTTTTAATTTAAGCCGGTTACCAGCGGTCTACCGTTGTCTGCTTAACCTGCGTGCAAGCTCTCGTGTTTGGGTTTCGCCTTTCGGCACAGCCACCCACTACATTAACAGAGGCTGCTTTTGGAGAAAATGTTTTGAATCCCCTTAGGCGCTTGATGTCTTAAATGGTCGTAAACTTGCACGTTGCCGTTGGCGAGCATTTCCTTCCATTTCTTTGCTATATTCTTAACCTAGCTTAAGTTTTCATGTTTCATCACATAAGACGATGCGGGGTCTATACAAATTGTACCGCGATTTCTAGAAACTTCTCGTCTTTACTTTTTTCGCTGTAAAATTGGACAATTTATTGTTGTTCAGAATACGTTAGAAATCGTTTGGGTCCGATTTTGGATTTCTCCCAGTTTTTAATTATTATTTTTTTCATTTATCTTAGAACACTCCGACTCGTTACTTCAAAAGATGTTTTCTCTAGCTGTTTATGAAGCTCACGATGTTGGAATTCCCTTGTTAAAAAGTGTACAGCTGCTGAACTTACATTAACGTGGCATCTCCACCGCCAAACTGTGACTAAGAACAATCTGTAATTTTACAGTTTTTAGTCGTCACGCTGTTTTCCTATCAAAGGACTTCTATTGGCAAACCCTGAGAGTTGAACACTCCTGTGATCTGTTATTCTAAAGACTGATCCTATTGTAAATTCTCCTTTTAATTTCAACACAATTACCTTTCAGAAAACTGGACTTGAGAAGTAAGAAAGTTAAGATAAACAGAAAATGTTGTCTCTATTATTGAACAAATTCTCAAGACCAGCCAAGAAATCAATGTATCGTTATTAGTTGGATGAATTTGCATTAGCATCTTGAAAGTAAAAAATGTTATCGATTATGTAGCAGAGCAATATCATTCCAGCTAGCCCCTTGCACTGAAACAGAGTTTTGACTGACGGACGAGTTTGCTACTGTAATGATAATTTTAGAAGAATTGTATCCTCGTGTAGTCTCGCTGTGGGTATTAACACTCGACTGCGTCTTGCCAAATTACGAACCAAACTCGCGTCGAAGCGTACCAAAAAGGTACAATTAGTTATGGATTTTGGTCACTATTTCTCTAACGTGATTTAATGTAATCTTGATTTTTAACCAGACCCCGTTAATGTAAGCACTAAGATAGTGTGAGTTGATTTTATAAGACTTACGAACACCGTCCAACACCCTTAAGCGCTGTCACCCCTGCTGTCGCGTTTTCATTTTGTTATGTTAGCATCCAAACACCCACAGCTTGAGACTTCAGCTTATGAAAATACTGAAAAACACAATTACAAAGAACAAGAAAACAAACTGTGAAAGCCAAAAGCAATTGTGGTATTTCGGGGGTGGACAACTTTGCTCCTGCAGTTTTTTTGTTTGGTTTTGTTTTTGTGTTTTTTTTGTTTATATCTCCTACTTTGCCGAGAATCTTATCAAGCTGCACATCCCAGTTCAAACTTATTTTTCTCATGTCTAAGTGGTCTTGGACACAAATTTTTTTAATACTTTTAGAAACGTTTAATTCTGTGCGAAGTACCGTGACAAGAGCGGATTCAATTAATTAACGCGCAAATTTCTTTCGAATTAAAAGGTCAAATTGCGCGTGTGTAGGCGTCTTAGAAGTGTGTTGTTTAGACTAGTTTGATTGTGTCATAGGACTGTTGTGTTCGTGTGAAAGGTGATATTAGGTTACACAAGAAATCGCCTTTCTGTGCGATTATCGTACAACTGTCGTTGGTCTTTTTCATTAGTTGATGAGAAAATGCCATACATATAATGATCAAAGAGTCTTTGGAAAATCTTTTTTTAAAGTGGGCATGAAATAGTAACCTCACGGCCAATTTGACTATGAAAAAAGTTAGATAATATCTTTCATCGGAACACAATTTGATTCAAATCGCTTTATTTATTGAGCAAATAATAGAATATCAATCGTTAGCTTATTTTGGGCAACTGGAAGATTTTTTTTCATGAATGAATGATTACAATGAAATTAAAACCGCCAACTAATTTGTTTTCACAGTAACTTGACCGCTGTGCATGTAAAGTTAAGCACTTTATATTTCTGTTTGCTTTTACGTTGTTCGAATCGCCATACTCTGTCAAGGTCAAGCTACCACAGTAAAAATTTTGGGAAGAAAAATAAAACTTCCTCCTCGTAACGATTCTTCAGTGCAACAAAATCCAACAAATTATTGTGGTACAGGAACATTTTCCTTTCGTTTTGTTGGATTGAAAACAAAAAGATGAAATCAACATAATTTACTGATTTTTATTAGAAAAATAATGTTGACTAATTATAATGTCACGGTTACTGAAGATTTCCTGATTGGCACGAAGTCGCAGAGACGTTTGAATACAAAATATAAACTAAAACCCATTTGACGTGGTTAATTCAAACATTTGTACCGTTTGTGAGCTTCATTGCATTGATTACGTCCAAAATTTTTCTAGAAGGAAGTTGGCGTGGTTTAGCTTGTTTTCGTTGAGACTAAGCAGGAAAAACATGTCGACCTCTAATGGGTTTGTTTTGATTCTTTTTCCTTTTCATATCTCTTTCATATCCGATATAGCTGTGATGATTTTAAAATTACGAAAATTTTTTTTGCTAGGATGTTTTTTGAGCCATAAAAATGATGATTTTTTTTAAATGTAAACCGAGGAACATCTGCCTTCTCGACCCTGCTTATGTAACTATTTTGTTATTTCACACGCAACTTACAGCTCTGTTCACTTCTGCCTATTTTGGTTTTCAGAAAACTGCATCTTTACAAAGTGCAAAGGTAATTTTAGCCGGCAGTGTCTTACTTCAGTTATCTTTCAATGGAACCGTTCAAATGTGATTTTTCCATCCCGTTTTCACACTGAAAACAAAACAAGAACACATATCGTGAACATGAGTGCCTTTTCGCGTGAATTTTGACTCCTTCAGTTTACACACCTTGATCTGTGTCAGTCGAGCTTGATATCGCTGCGGTGTCACCACCAGCCTCCGAACTCGGTGTACCGAATACTCGTAGTCTGGCCTCTTGCCACATATTTTTACATAGATCCTGCTGCATTTCATTAAAAACTTGCTTTTCGACTTCGGGAGCAAGTTTTTTAAAGATCTTGCCCCTGCGCTGTGATCCAGGCGACTGTCTGTTGCATAGTCCTTCAGCGACTTCTAACAGCGAACTGCTCTGTTTCGCCGCTTCACATTTGCAGGCTTCTGAAATCTTCACAAACACGTTTTCATTCTCGTCATCTTCCATGTGAATAGAGAAGCTTTTGCCTATTTTGTTCAGTGTATTTTGCCGTCTAAGTGTCGTCTCTGTATCGCAAAGGGTCCCACTTTCTTCCAAGTGTACTTGTTCACTGCTTGTCATTTCTGCCATATTTCAGCTTGTTCTACTGATACTATTCACGTCGCCCGCTTCATAACATTTAACACCGCTAATCTGCATAGTGAAGCCTTTAAAACGTCTGGTTCGCTTCTCATTTCCATAACATAATTACATTCTTTTGTTCTCAGATCTTAACGATACCCACGCCAAACACGAAATTTAGTAGTATTTTATGCCCAAGTAAAATGCCTAGTTTTGTCTTCATTGGAAATACAGCCCAAACCTTGCCGGACTCAGGAAGTCTTGGCTACTTAAATGAAATGATTTACCGCTTGCAAATATGATAATTACGATCTTGAGGGCATTGTTACTCTTGATGCGATAACACGATAACAAATTACAAAATACGAGCCAAGTTCTCTTTTCTCAAGGGTATTCACTTTTTTCAATTAAGGCTTCTTTGCTATACCGGACACAAAAGAGTATTTCGTGTGCCGTTAAAATTTCTTGGTGGCCTTTGTTTGTCAAAGTACAACACTAAATTCTATTCTTTCGACAGGATTTGATCTAATGTAGACGAAGTGGTTGGTAGAATGCGAAACTCGAGAAACCCTCTGCGCTAGAAACTCATGAAAAGCGATCATTAACACACGAGCCACAGCTCTTTCAACATCAGTGCTCATTTACAGCCGTTTGGGAGTACTGATAAATATCTTAAATAAAACACCTGTAAATGGTATTTTAAAACAGATAAACACTCACAAATTTCAGGTTTGTGTTCATTTATTCTTTTTCTTCATTATTAGGTTTTTTTAAAAAAATTTCTTTCTGTTTTAATGGGTTACCGTGGTATTTCATGATAAAATTCTTTAAAATATTTAATTTTTCCCTCATTGCTAACTGAAGTATTTCGCGGTAAGCGCAGTCTTACTTTCTATGACGGAAATTCTGGCGATGTAATGCCTTCCTTGAAATCATGTTATCTGAGAGGAAATCTTTATAAAGCTCATCAATATACCCATTTCTAACGTTTCATACACTAACTTCAGGAAATTTGTCTGTTAAGATGACAGTTCATCGATGGATCATCATTAATAGACTTGCTTAAGATGGCGCTTATTCTTTAAATGGCAGCCTTAGCTAGGTTTTGGTACCAGAATACACAAGAACAAGAAGGAAAATCAACAGGAGCATTTTCTTCTGCCCTGTTTCCTTCTCTCTCTTCTCTCCTACGTCAATCGTAAAATGCGAAAAGGGTGGAATCAAATAATTAACCAAATAAGGCACATTTGTTGTGGTGCTCGCTGAGTGAACCACCCCCCCACTCACCCCCTCCCCCTTCACACACTCCCTTTCCTTGGAGCACTGCCCTTTCTTGAAAGAGACGGGATCAGTTATAACTGAGAGAATTCAAAACACTTTCTATTGTTTTTAGCCAATACAGGGTGTTTCTTTCCACAAAAGAAACGTGAAATTCAACGGATTTAACAGAATGCTCCATGAAATTTTTAATTAGGTTACTGTTCACCGCTAAAGGGCTACCGGAAGTGCAGTAGTATAGGTGTTTTGGAGTTGCCGGGTTGATCCTAAGTAAATATATCTTCCAACTGTTGTAATCGAAGACGTACAAGACCCTGCTTTCGAAGTTATCTTACAGAAGTCAAATACTGAAAACAAGATTGTTTGAGATGTTGAAAAGACTCGATACCCTTAATAAGAGTTGTTTTCATTTGTCTTTCTCAAGTGGCGGGGAAAGTGGAAAAAACAAATCTTTGTCTGGAGGGACAAATTCCCCTAGATACTGACTGTCTGATTATTCATAAAAACTATTATGGAACTTGCACCAGCCATTCTGCCGAAATCCCTTCTACCTACTTAGTGTCCGTAAATGGATCATCTATTTACCACTTAAAATGACCCCAGGTTAAGGTGATTGATCAAGGACTGGCCATCTGTAAGCCCCCGATGTCAAAAACTTCCTGTCTGTCTCCTCTGCTTGGAGGATTTCTGAGTGCTAATTCTTCTTGGACGCTAATTCTTATCGTAAGCTACATGCAAGTATTTATATTTGGCTCACAAAATTTCGAGTCACGTTCTTCACTGGCATAAATGGAGAAAGATGTTGTGAATATTCAAACTTAAGCTTTATTATTTCTTTACAGAACAATTCACTCTAAGCAAAAACAATTTTCTCTCAAATGTGAAAGGAAAAAATTTACAATGATATCATATAAAACACATCACTTTTTGGCATTTAACATTGCTTAAAATAAACTCTCTTCGTATGAATTAAGCTGTCAACATGCATCTTCGCGTCATATGCAATCCCTAAAATGGGCTATCATTTCTAATAGCGTCTAGTTTCTATTTGTAACGGTAAAATATTTACAGACTTTTTCATTTCCGAGGTATTCATATCACGAGATAAATCCAAAACTCTTATTTAAATTCCCTTGCGTTAGCTGACGGCCTATTTTCAGCTAATTTCCCTACATAAAAGGCTCATGAGATTCTCGTCTTCTATTCTCTAAACTCCTTGAGACTCTTGTTCCATAGCGGCAATGTGTTCTTTAGCTCTCAACCGAAGTGAAAGCAGACTTGAGTCGTTACGAATTTCCAAATTTTCGACCTCGCCTTGGGCCTCCTCCGAGCTGGAGGCTGCCGAGTCGGTGGACTTGGGCGAGCACGAATCGTGGGGACTGGACGAGGCAGGTGGCGTGGGTGAACTTGGCATCGAGGCAAATTGAAACGCCGCTACTTGCTGTCGTGCGCATGTCCAGAAGTCGGTGTTGTAATACTCGTATGGGAATAGGGTGTATGGTTCGAAACCTCCACAAAAGCGAGCCAAATGACTCGGGTAACCTAAACCGAAAATGGTGGGTACATCATGGCGACGTTTTCTTTGTTGTTTGCGCCATTTTGCCCGTCTGTTCTGAAACCAGATCTGTAAAAAACAAATCACACCGTTGATTATTACAATTTGAAATTGCAAGACCCTATTTTCACTTCAGCATTTATAGAACAGGATTATCTGATGGTGAAAAGTACCGCGGCTAAAGAATTTTTTCCAGCTGATATTACACGTAAGTCATAAAGAGTTGGTTGGTAAGATAAACAATAAACTTCAACTCAAATTTGTCTGCAATTGCTTTGTGAAAGTAAGAGCTAACCTGGACTTGAGCTTCTGATAATCCAGTGCTGTTTGACAGTTCAGATCTGGCCGCTACATCAGGGTAGTGGTTTAGGAGAAACACTCTTTCCATCTGATAGATCTGTGACTTGTCAAATGTTGCTCGGTAACGCTTCTCGCTGTCACCTCCAGTACATCTCTTCGTTCTTTTGGGAGGCCTTGTTTTCTCGGATTTTGGTGTAATCCTCTCGTTAGTTTCTTCTTTGCCTGTTAGAATATGCCAGTTGGATCATAAGTCTAAAAAATTCACAACATCTTCCTCTTCACATCACGATCACCATTAACATCTTCCTCACCCGTCGATTTATAATGTGTTAGTTTTGTTTGGAGAAATTACCTTTTGACAAACTAAGAAGCGAGCGACTTTAGTGGATAATCCCTCTTCAGAAATTTCTTTAGTTGAAATCTTATGGGACTAAAATATTTTCAAGTTCCACTTTCCTCCTCTAACAATCACTAAAGATCTCCATAAATTGTTTCTGACACTTACAAATCTTTGCAGTGCTTACAAGATGGATTTAGCTGATCCAAGACTTTCTGAAGTTTTTCATCTCTCTCGTGACCCCGACAGAGCCAATTGTCGAAAATTCCCTTGAGATTATAGAACATTAATTAGTCCCGCCCAATTGAGTGAACATTTCAAAGAATAATGTCACAGCCCGAGCAATCAACCGACCAACTTCACATGCATGATTGTTCAAAAAGTGTCGTCGCCTACAGTTTTTTTGGGTTGGACGCATTGCAAGCGTAAAACGAGAAAACTTCGCAAAAAATGTTAACATTACATTTCTACAGTGAAATACGAGTTTGGTAAAGTTTGACTGATAACTTTCCTTGAGGCTAACTAATATCTTCCTAAGGAAAAATATTTTACTTTTAGAAGAGTTTGACAAGGCTGTATATTCCTGCTTAAGTTATCAGTAAGTGACGTCTCCGAATGTGCGATTTTCCAGCTAAGAATGGAGGAGAATAAACCACACCATTTCGATGAAAGGAGTTCTATTACACACCACAATGCTGAGTCGCTTGTTCATTAAAAACTGCCTTATTATCCAAGTTGCTCACGATTTTCGGACGTGCTTTTTTTCTATTTTTCAGAGCCGCTTTTCCTAAGGAAAGTTTCATCGAGTTCTTCTCATTCAAAAAAAGGAAAAGAAAGAAAACATACATTATTAGAAAATTGGCATCATCGCATCATGTTGCAATTTATACACAGCTTTCACCCCGATTCAAACGAGCGGCATTTTTGTGACGAAGACATGTTGCAGAATACAAATCAGTGATACAAAACCAAGGTTAATTTTATACTTTGGAACTAACTATACATAGACTCTCTGTTTTTCATATTTTTCCGAATTGTTTCCATGCGGATAATCCCTTCTCGATTTTTTCTTGATTTGGCAGCTCTGGTAGCACCACTTGATTATTTCGTAACCAATCGACTCAATTCACTGTCCTTTGTGAAAAAATACACAGATTTGAATGCAATCGAAACTATTTACGTGTCACAGTACTAAGAAATAATGTGGCTATTCTGCTTTGAAGTTTAGCCATGAAATACTCTTGTGGCGTTGTGTCTTTCAGAATGTAACACAACTGTTCCCTTTAACGTTTCTCGTTTTTCAGGTCAACCGAAGCAAAGTAATCGAACTAATCGTGATCAAACATCGAACAGTTTTAATTTATTTTTCAGCGATAGATCAAACAGTGAAAGCCCCGCATCAATACAAAATACTCACAGTTTTTTTTCGAAAAGTTCAGTTGAGTTTTGTCATTGCCTTCAGTTTTTTTGTCAAATCCCAGCAAGTTTGAAATGGAGAACCCTGCACTGTGCTGTTCAGGATCCATTCCTGATCGGGTGTAACCTTTTGATCGCAAGGAAAGTCAAAGTTGTAATCTTCACACAATGCTGGCTTCGTTGCGTTGCGAACACAGAGGCGAGTCACATTTATTCTATTTGTGTTGCTACCAATATCACTCTTTATGTGAAAGTCCTTTAGCAACATTAAATCAATTAACGAGGATTAAATGAAAAGGTATTGTAGTGTGTTGGCATAATCGTTGCCTTTTCACTACATTCAATTGTGTGACTGGTCGAAATCAAAAGGTATTTGACTGTGTTGTGTTCCAAGGGTCTTTAAGGCGGAGCTGACACAACAATTAAGTAAATCAAGGTACTGTATTAAACCAATTAAGGTGTCAAAACGCGCGACATTGGACTGGCTGTAAATGGCTGTAATTAGCAATTCTTTGGGTGCTTTTCTTCGTGACTGCATTAGCACATGGGATCTGATTCAAGGTGCCAATAAACTCAATAATGAAATCATTTATCTCTAGTAAACGCGCTTGTTGAGTTCCGGTTCTTGCAAATCAAAAGTTTCTTCGCGGTACAACAGTGCTTGATTTCCGCATTTATCAGGAAATTCGAGTTTCTATTTATTTTTAACGAGGTGTTCATGTGAAACGCGAATACTGGTTGAATCATTGAAAAATTATCGCCGTCTTTCTTAAGATGTAAGTTCTCTCACGTGTGAACCCACATTATGCTCACCTCACAAGCGAGGTAACTGTAGCTCATGAGCAGAGAAAATTAAAAGACTTCTAGTTCGAATAAACAAGAACAACTCAAAGTTTTCTTCGCCCCGATAAAGCTCGCGACCAAAGGTTCAATATACTTTGTCATGTTTTATCTCCCGCACATGTGGTGAAATTATATATAGTCTCTTGTCCTTATATCATATCATACAGCCATATCTTACATCAAACGTTTTTGTATTGTTCAGTTGGACGTTCATACATAACAATCGAAATTGATTATCAATTCCGATCAAGTTTTTTTACTTTTTTCATGTTCGAGTTATCTTCAAAATAAGGGGCCAACCGCATTAAACTAAAGTTACCAGTTATTTCATTCATTTCAGCCAAGCAGCATGACATCCTAGAAAAATGTCTGGTTTAAATTGTCCACTATATTCCCATTACACCTTTGTATGACGACAGTGTTTTGAAAGAAAAGGCAACACTTGTGCATTTTAAAATCTCGTTTACAGAGATTAAGAATTTCAAAAATCGCATCACTGCTTTTAAAAAACATTAGCCTATAAGAAAGAACTCTCTATGAAGTTTAGTGTGATCAAGACAAAATTCTCCGGTTTTCTTGAGAGTTTCTTCACTAATCATGTCTCCGTCAAGACCATTTTCAAAGTGCTGCTGTAAATCGAGGCGGACATTGAAGTCTCATTTTTAACTCTCTCCTCTAAGCGACTGCATGTTTCATATTTTCAATACTGTGATTTGAAAAGTTTTAGCTTTTGATAACAGTTTCATTTAGTATTGGATGGACTTGTTTAAGAAGTAAAACCAAGTAACGCAGAAATGCAACTTATGTAATTGTTCACCAAGAAGAACCACTGCATTTAAAAATTGCAATGTTCCACGGAGTCACAACGGTAATTATTGATAATATCTCTTTCAAAATAAAACTGTATCTTCTATTTGGATGTTGACAGTTTTGCGTCAACTATTACAAGATGAGCGAAATGCTCCGCTGTTTAAAGTATAAGGACCTTTCTTCCGGGATAGAGTGTGTACTATTTGGGGATAGCAATCTTCTTGAGTACATGCCGGCGTGAACGACACACACCTTACATGGTTACAAACGTTATCTTTGTCGTGATTGGTCGGGGTGCACTCTCAACGCCGACGAATTCGAGGAGGAATCGTTCGATTGCTAAACACTGTAGTTTTATAATCCACGTTAATAGGACCTCGGGTCTCATAGTTTTCACGAAGGTACATGATCATAGTGAATTTACAATGACAAAGTTTTCGTTTTCAGATTCCGATGTAATTAATTAAATGACTCGTACGTGAAGCTATTCGGAAACTAAGTTGCGTCACAACTTTTCAAGCAATTTATTTGGTGTGATTCTTGGTGTAAATACCATTTTTGTTTTGTTAGCGGAATAATTACGAAATCACTTACACCACAGTGATGAAGTCTCAATTCCTTTGTCTTTGCTGACAATCGTTTTGCTTCGGGAAATCTATGTTCACAAGTTTTATTGTCTGCAAGAAATTATTTGTCAACTTTTGGCTTAACCAATATAAAAAACAACGATAAGCGAGGCCTTGTGTGCCATGAAGCAGGAAGTGGACAGGAACCAGCAACCAGCAACTGCAGTTGGACGGTCTCGGATATTTGAAGGCATAAACTCAGAGAAAACCAACGTGTGCAATTAGTCGACAGATGTTTTCATTAAAAATCCAACACTTGTTCACATCACCAAGAGTAGAAGTTTCTTTCAAATCAACTCTCGTATCATGTTTTCCCGTTGTGTTGAAAGCGTTGTTGTTTTGTTTTTCTTTTGCACGACAAAGTAATTAAAGCCACAACGAGTTTATAATCCCTTGGGGTGTGGCTTAAACCAATTTCTTAAAAAAAAATAATTGAGGTAGCAGTGCACCCTTGTTCTGTTGATTTTTGTCGGTAAGATTTCTAGGGGCTAATACCAATAATTAGAGAAAAAGCAATGAATAACTGAACATAAAAGTATCTGGTAAAATGATTTAACAACTCATTGATCTCTGAGGTTGCGATCTACAGCTATTATTCTATAACGAATCACCCAAAGTACAATTAACGCCTGGACAGAAGTAGACACTTTAATTCAAAGGAGTTCATTCCAACCACACCTCTTTCGTGAAATGCAATAATTTCATCCTGTACCGAAGTTTATTCAACGGCGTTAGGTTTAGTTTTGTTCTTTAGCGATGTTTGTACCGAAGAATTTAACTTGGATAGACGCAAAAGTCTTACACAATTTTGTTACGCACGGCGTTAGAGTATAAATTTCCTACAACAAAAGGAAACCAGAAGTACATATAAATATTGTCATATTATTATGTATAAAAATCAATCACAATCCAGTTTCATGACAAGGAATTTGAACCATTATTTGGTAGAAATATTTCTGTAGGAGCCTATTTACATCCATATTGGTATCAACATTAAAAAAAAAGTCAAATTCTGCGCACAGTGTCTTTATCGGTTCATGGGGCAGGTTCGCTTGGTATGACCTAAAAATGAAAGAAGAAAATTGATAGTCAGCGACAAGTAACAATTCACGGTCTATTTAAAAATTATTTAGCTTGTTCTCAGTCTGTGCACTTAACGAATAAATGTCCAAGCATGGAACAGCAAGTTTCTCTCTTATTACCGAAGTCTCCTTCCTGTCTTGGGATTCCTAAGAACATCTGACACTGAATAAAAGTGCCCGGTGCCAGAAAATATGAAACCTTTCTTGAAATTAAGTGGAAGTACAGAAAAATCGTGGTTGCACTAAGAGAGAAGTTTTCACCTGACCTGACATTGGAATACTTGATATTTTAGGACGTTTAAGTATTCTGTCGGAGCTTTATTTCACCAGAATAACCATCAACACATTAACCGTGGTAACCAAACAATACGAGTAAACTAGAGTTTTCGATATAAATAACTCGTTGAAATTCGTTTAAAGTTTAAAACAATACCATAAACTTAGGTTTTTCAAATAAAGAGCACCAAACAGTTCAACACAAACTGTAGGTGTCTTAAGATGCCTAGAATATCCTACCTTCTTGGTGGCAAAGGCCACATTTTCTTTTCCTTGTCCCTCCATTGTTTGTCGATGCAGATCTTCCAGGTTTGCTGTTGGCCGATGATGGCCCTGTAGTGTCACCCCATTCAAAGAAATCACAGCCCTGGCCTCTAGGTTTAGCACAACAGTAGAACGGTCGACCCTTGTTCGCTCCTTCTTTGGATACTGTGCGACTGTAAAATATGGAAAAAAATCTCTTAAAGACGCGACTATAGTAACTTTGGAAAGCTTTTTCTTCTTTGGAGTCATCAAGGTCGGTCCTCATTTTTCAGTCGCGTATTCGATTCGCTTTTGTGAATGGTAGGATCATAGAATCATGTGAGTATTTTTCTAGGTGATCAGCTATTTAGCTATTTTGAAATTGCGTTCATCATAGTAACACTATCTTACCTGACTGCTGGTTCACCACAGTGACAAGATGGTCCAGATTCGTGTGCATCCAGTGATCCACTGCAATGTTAACATAACCCAAGATAGCATTTTAAGCAATTCTATTTGAGGCTTCACTTCACGTAGAGATGTAATATTTGACATTTTAACTATGAAAGTTATTCGGACTGAAATACAAAAAGGTACCTGGTTCGTGGAAAAGTTGAGTTTCTGTCAGAATTAAATCCTGAAAGTAAAATTGCATTTATTCGTCAATACGTTTCCATGGAGGGTATACATATTTGTAACCACAGTTCAAGATCTACATGAAGAAAAGTTGCAAGATATAATGACGATTTCGGTAACTTTTTGAGCTTACCGAGAAAAAAAAAATTCAATTCAATTCATCAAATACATAATCTGGCTATAATCAATCACTTCAATATTCACGAATGAAAACTGATTTTTGATCAAGTGCCAGCCACACTTTTTCATCTCACATATGTAAACTTGCTGGAGAACAATGCACATGATTACAAAACAATTGTGAAATACCTGTACTATTCCTGTTTAAGTTACTGGCTGATCTCAGAGGAGCGGTTTGTCCAAAGGTTGAAGACGAACCACTAGAATCATCATCAGCCCATAAAAAGAAACCACAGCCATTGTCTCTGTTTGAACATTTGTAGAATGGCCGACCTGAGCACAAAATGTCAAAATTGAAATATTAATCATTTCAGATTGCCCCATATCTTTCGGCCTTAATTTTTAAAACATAACACAACTAAACAACAGTGATCTTAACTCACCTTGATTAGGTCCATCTTTTTTAACAGTCAGCAGCATTGCAGGCTGTCCACAGGTACAAACAACACAGTTCTCATCACCTCTGACAAACAAACATTCAGATATGACCACATTCTAGCAAAACTTACAGCCTAACCAGGCTAATTCTCCCAGCACAGCTCTCTCCCATCACTGATAGTGACTCCACTGAGAAGGTTCTTCCCTGTAATGTGGCTATTATTTAACAAAATTCAACTAGGCCCAGAGCTTTATATGTCTATTCAACAACATGACATACAATGAGAACACAGCATTGTTGTGTTCTCATTGTCGTGCAAGCTCATATCCCAGATATCAGAGGTTCTTTGAAAGATTTTACACTGTTAGAACGCGATGACAGTTTATAGCTGATGTGAACTTGACGGTAGATGCTCAATGTAATCATTGCTGCATCTGCTTTGCACATTTGTACATTTCTTAGTTTCCCTTGGTTTCTTAGTAATTTGGTTGACTGTGGTACTTACCCATCACCTGAGCCAGCTGAAGGAAATTGATTAAAACCTAAAATGAAAAAGAAACGACTTGAATCTTTTGCCCCAAATCACTCTATTAAGCGCTGGTTTCATTAGACGCGAGTCTCCCGTAATTTACCGTAAAACCCGACATATAATCGTTCAGTTCAACAAGTACCTCCTGCAAATGATGTGTTGTTTCCACCAGTTTGCCCCCAACTTTGACCAGCTGGTTGAAATCCTCTTCCTCTTTGAGCGGGTGGTCTTGCAACTTGAGGTGTTGCAGCAGGCCTGTTGGGCACCACTTGACCACGCCCTGTAAGTCTGTTACCCCTATTACCCCTGTGACTGGGCTGAGGGGTTTGTCTTCCGCTTCCTCTTGTGTGCGAACCACCTACGTATTGAAATGTTTGCACGTTATTAGAAAAAGACTACACCAAAAAGTATAACGAAGAATCGAGCTCATAAATTGTCTTGAAACTCGGGCAACAGGCGGTATTTCATGCTGTCATGAGACCAACATTTTAACCATTTTAATTAGCAAGAACCGATACTAAAAACTACAACAAAGAATCGAGCTGATACATTGCCTTGAAACCAGGACAACAAGCGGTATTTCATGCCGTCATGAGACCGCCATTTTAACCAAGGGAAACAATGAGTTGATACCTGATTCAGTAGGGAGCCTTGTCAAATCCTTTAAATCCAGCAGCTCTGTGAGAGTTCCATCGCATCCACCGACACAGCCTGTGTAACTACCAACACAACAGTACAATGGACAGGTATAAGCGTTTGAAAAAGAAATGGACATGAAAAATAAAAGAAATTCAAATCAGTAAGAGATAAAAGACTAACTGAGATTTTAATACTTCTGTTCAACATTCACTGCTAAGTCAAGGGAAAAGCACAAAAGTTGGCATGACATTTTCATGGCCCTGTGCACTAGCATTTTGTCATAGGCGTCTGACAAAGAAAAATTTGAGTCCTTGATGAATGATTGAGCCGTGGAGCTTCCAATTTCACAAGAACTACCCCACAGAGTGTGTGAGAGCGTCCTGTGAACGGCCGGGATCAGCAAATTTGAAAACATACCATGAGGTGAAGAGTAAGAAATAAGAATTTTGGTGCTCATTTATTTAATAGAAAAGGTTGTTAAACATTTGTCAGGAATGAGGGGACAGAGGAAAAATCTGGGTTCCCTGTGAGGATTTAACTCTTGCAATTGCAACTAAGGTAACACCGACACTAGAAACACTTTGTGAATCAAAAGTCAACTTACTCCAGAGGCATCATTGGTGGAACAGAGCCTCTCTTAAATTTGAACCTAATTTGATGTACATCTCCAGGTTGACACTGCTGACATAGAGACTCATCAACTGAAGCCTCTAAAACAAATTTAGGGAAGAATATACTGGCACGACATCTTGGATATCCTTGACAACCGACCATGTAGCTGCAGATTGATAACATGGGAAAACATAAATAAAATATCAATAGATGAAACATCAATAAAAATTCCAGTATACTTATAGATTTTGTGAAGCCAACACTAGCCCTTTGAAAAAATGTGAACATGTATTTGTAAACAGTTTGAACAGGAGCACTTGTGAACACTTGCTGATAAAATGAGCAAAGTACCTTCCATCTTTGGTCTTTTTAAGCACCATTTGTTCTGTTTTACATCTTGGACAAAGCCGCATGGGTTCTGTTCCCCTCTCATCCCCACTACCAAGAACTTAAGTGGAAAACAAACAAACAAAAAGATAAAGCAAAACAAAAAAAGTCTGTGGAAAGCTCAATAATTCAAGGAGAAATAGTTAATGAATAATTATACTGGTGTTTCTGTTGTAAGGCAAGTTATTTGAAGTGTTTGGCATGTACTTCATTTCTTGCTTTAATTACTTAGTTATTGTCATCCTGCCTATTTGGCTGTCATTATCATAGATGTAGAGATAAAAATACAAACCTTCATCAATGAATTCTTGAGGATCTCCAAAGTACGGTCGTAAAGCTTGATCCAGTTTGACTGCCTGTGGTGAAACACAATGTCACAAAACACATCTGTCTTAAAAGCTCCAATTTAACTTGGAAACAGTGGACAGGCAGAGCCAACTCATGGACTGTTCACAGCTGAATCATTATTAATATTATTATTTAACAATCTAAAGATCGATCAATTCTTAAAAAAACCAGCAAATAAGAGCAGCCCCACATGATTTAAACCATTCATCAAATTAAATTGAGAGGGATTTCTTTGAAAATGTTTAAAAGAAAAAAAAATGTCTTTATTTTCAAGTTTTCACCTGCAAAGTAAAAGAGGGCTGTAAACAGACATAAATTAAGGTAGCAAACCTCTTGCACAGCTTGGACGAATTGTTCCTTGTACTTTGCTATTTGTTCCACAAGTACATCTAAATGACAAAGTTCACCAATCAGTAGATATTGCAAGTTTAAAGAGAATACTGAAATTATGTCAGTGGTTTATAATCTGTCTCACCATCTTTATTTCTTGTTCCTTCACAAATTCTGCAAAAGAAAACACAATTGGCTAATAGTCTAAGCAAGGTACATATTTAAGTTTTTCCTTTGTTTTGTTATGTTTGCAAAAATTATTTTTTAGTTTGTATCTTTGTATATAGATGTTTACCAATAGACCAATAGTTGCTACCTTCACCTCAGTTAGTTGAAGACCAAGAAGTGGACAAGGTTTGTACCCTTTTTGAGGATCAAATTTCAAAGACTTTTCCAGGACTTAAGTTGATTTTTCCAGCACTCAAAATTTCACCTAAAACCATTACATTCCCAATATTTCAGAATAAATTCTCCTTACAGTCTGTATACATTTTTTATAACATAAATTCTGAAAACTTTATTGCTTGAGTTAGGCATATTTCCAGGACTTTCCACCCCTGGGAAATGTCAAAGTAAAATTCCAGGTATTCCAGGACCTGTGCGAACCCTGAGTGGAAGAGAAATGAGAAAAAAAAGGGTATGTGCAAGCAGTGGAGTCTTCCTGGTGTGACTTGTGAACTTTACCTCTTTAAATCTGCTTCAAGTTCAGATCTCAGTCTTGGTTTAGAGAGCTCAAATCCCATTAAATCATAACCTTTAAAATAAAAATATGTTAAGGATTAACTTAACTTTACAATTCTTCATAAATGAGGAAAATTAACCAGAGAAGGTAAATACTCTATCTCTACCATAAGAACAGGATGGTCACTAACAACATGGGGGTCATGTGATAGGATCTCATTGTACCTTCCACAAGTCCCATTCCCAGCTGTCCTGGTAAGAAGGTCCCATCTTGCTGCACTCCCACATAGCACCTGTTCTTGATGGTCTCTATATGCTCAGCATGAGTGGCATCTGTGCCTGTAGCAAGAAGGATAAAAGACATCAATTAACTTTTCCCTTCACCCATGATTTCCACTCTCTACTTCTAGCGAGATGTGAAGCTGTCGTTAGGTCAGCTGATTACTTTTGTAACAACAGAAACTATTTTCTTCCCATTTTTCTCTGTCCTTTGGATAAAAATAATTTTGTTTTTCTTCAGAGATGGATAGATCAACATCTTGGAATTCCCTCAATGAAAACAACAATGACAGTCACCAACAACAGTCCTTTGCACCTCACCACTGATCTGGATGATCAGACAAAATCATTTGTAAATACTCTTGAGTTACCCCTTACCTATGCCATGTTTCTCCATCAGACCAATCAAATCAGCTTCTGTTAACAGAGGAGGTGGTTTGGTTTCCCCATCAATCATCTGCAAACAATATTAATTGTACACTTTACACATTCTAATTTAATAAATCAACATCATGGGAAAGAAGTCCAATTGCCACACCCAATTTAGTTCAAAAATACTACATGGAATAGGAAAAGAAAGGCCAAACACTCTTTGAACTTTTAATTTGAGAATTCTGTTACATTACAAACCTCAATAGAACTTGGCTGAAACTCTTCACCTTGATTGTAAACTGGGATTGTCTTCAAAGAGGAGAGAATCAATGCAAACGATTATCATGACGTAGAAAGCTCATGCAAAGAAGACAGTCATTTGACCAAAGAGCTAACAGCAGCACTCCACAATTGGTGTAAAAAGATATTATAATTTTAAAAGTTCTTAAGTAATTTTTCTTTGAAAAAAGGAGGCCAAATGTAAGTTAAATCCTGGAGAAAGGAAACTGAATTACCTTATCACTCCATCTATCATAAGGATAAACTTCCAGATAGTTCCTTGCAATGATCATAAGTCCTGTGGCTGTAAACTGCAAAAAATGAACATCAAATATTAAATGTCTTCTTCTACTGGCAGGAGCAAAGGTTTTTTTTTTCAAGCAGAAAAGACTTTTCATTGACACCTTGGTGCTCATTTTCTGACTTGAACTCATGATTCAACAAGCTGTATAACACAGACCTTCTCTCCAGCAATTTCAATTTCCACATTAGTCTCCTGACCCTTGGCATCCTTGAAAAAAAAAAGTAATACATTTTCAGTAACTGAGAAGAGGATTTACAATCATGGTAGTAAAGGCATAACCACAAAGATAACTCACACATGAATACTAAGCAATGATATGATCATAGGAAATTATGTGGTGCTTGCCCTTAATCCAACCCAAACCCAACCATTTCCTATGGAGTATAACAATGAAAAATGGAAAATGTACAAGGCTATTCTTTGTCTTGTAAGGCATAAATCTGAATTCTATAGCTTTAAGGAAGAAACACAATAAATTAAAATAATTTCAACACAAAAGAATCTTCTTACCTCAGAACAGCAAGCTAAGAAGTGCCTCACTATGAACTCGTATAATCTTTTTTCATTTCCCTGTAAATCAAATTAAGCCAAACGGACACTGTGTAGCAACACTGAGCCAAGAAAAAGTCTTAAGTAAGGATAACCTTGAAATATAAAATATCTAGCAGGTAGCAGATCTGGGGAATATTTATGGTTCAAAAAGCTATATTGGTTGATGGTACACAACTACTGTACATGTAAATAACTTATGCACTCACTGTTAACTGATGGACCAACACCTTAAATTCAGCCCTGTGTATATCTAAAATAAGCTTATTTCATTCAATTTGTAACATGCAGTTTCCAAAATGTGACATTTGATAGCTCTGATGGACTATGGTGGAATATCCCAAGGGGGGAGGGGGGGGGGAAAAATTATTGACAGAATTTCTATCATTCAGAAATCCTTCAAAGTAGTGTCAAATCTCTGAGCATGTATTGGTATTTGATAAAAAAGCAAACCTGTAAATTGTTTGTATGCTTTGTTGGATGAATAGGAGGGTGAGCATTGTCTGTTTTGTTGCCCTGTCGAGGGCTGGGGCCTCGTTCCAACACGCGAGCTGCAAAAGCTGAAAAAAAATACCAGGTCATTACACTAAAGTTACAGTAGTCCAACCTTAGAATCAAGACTAGTGCTTTGCAATGATATCAACCACATAAGATAACTTAAAAGGTACTTACAAAATGATGTTAGTGAAAATTATTCAAATAATAGTTAAAACACAGCTTATAAGTTAATGTATCAATGGCACTGAGTAAATGAATGACAAATGAAAAAATGAATGAATGAAAATATGAATTTCCATTTTACCTCCCCAGTTTCCATCAACAGTCTGATTTTGAACAAGGGGCCGCAGGTCTAACGACTTTGGAAACATGTTGGTTTCTGTGCGAGGATAGCTGATGAATCTAATATACAAAGTAACAAAAGTACTCCACATGATTTTTATGTCTGTTTTCAAGAATTCGGAAAATCAGGATACAATTCATTATTCAATGACCTTATGATGGGATAAACATTCATTATGAAAATTGTTGATTTATTATTTCAACTCACAGCCAGTGACATCATGTGTCAAGTATAAGATAGCACAAAAATAGGTTGATACCAGTACTTTTAATCACATTGAAACTAAGAGAGTACTGGTAACTGTATTGAACATGGCCTTCAGCAGGGCACCAAGAATATACCATTAGCTCCTTTAATTAGAAAAGCCACGACTACCTACCCCTGATTGTAGAGTTTTTCAGCTATTTTCATCGTCTCTTTGGAATTTATTTTCAATTTTCGAGAAGCAAGTTTCTCAAGTTCCTGCAAATGTATTGAGCATGTTCTCTTAAGTGAACTTTACATCACCCAAATGCACTAAATTCCAATGTATTATAATAAAGTCTATGTAAATATTGCAAGGTATTTTTGAAGAAGTTTTTAAAATGTAATCAGAAGAACCACTATAAAAAAGAACAAGGTGTCAACTCACAAGAAATAATGATGGTTCCACTTACCACAGTGTCTAACGGAAGAGGTCTCCACTTACTCTTGGGACGAGATGATGTGGTAAGAACCTTTGCTGTAGGATTCTGGTATATGAGTAAAAATAATAATGATAATAATAGTAGTAATAATAATATAATAATAATAATGATAATAATAATTTTTTTTGACTTGTCATGAGTGTGGGAAAAAGAATCCACATGAAGAATCAAACCTAAGATGACATCTTTCTTATTCTATTTACAACATCAATATTATAATAAAAAATAAATTTTTGCCCAAAAAGTGATAGAAATGTAGTTTATATAATTTTTAATTAATAAGTTTATTCCCCAGTTACAAAACCATTTAAAATAGTTTTAACAAAACCTTGTGTTATACCTCCAAACACATCTGATAGATGACTAGACAAGGCAAGCGGTGAAAAAGTCTGCCTCTATAAGGATTTCAAAAATTGTAACAATAAATATTTTGTATAATTATGCAATTAATTAAAGCGTCATGGATGCTAAAATTCAGCCAAAATCCTCACAAAGTTAATCATGGAAATTGAAAAAAATTAAGTTCCATTGTACCTCTTCCAGCTGAAATCTACTTTTGTTTCTTCCATCTCATGAGAAACTAATAAAAGGAAAAAAAGGTCAAATTTTTTGGCTTAACAAAATTTATTTATCTGAAAAACTTAGTTGTAAATTTCACCATCCCTTAAAATATAACATCATTTCATGCACAATTATATATCAATACATAAGATAACTTCCTACCTTTAATTTTGTAAAATACTTCAGGAACAAATTGTTGGACTTGTTTATACTGATTGGCAATGACAAGAAAATTATAGATTTAAAACTAATGAAATAGAAATAACAATACTTGGTGACTAGACTTTCTAAAAAGCAACAAACCAAAGCTGCAAAAATTCTGAAAGGAGATTAGTTGCAGATCCATTTTAGCTAGGGTTTCTGAGAATGGAATGTTTGTATGGTATGCTCTCTACTTCTGTTTACAAAGTTTAGATATCAACATTTACTTACTCTTTCAACAACAAATCCTAATGTTGGAAACTGGCAACTTCCTATAGGAAATGAAATCAAATACAGCAAATTTTTGATTAAAAAGTCCTACAACTGGATGCAGAAAATCCAGCTACTTCCTGTTGAAAAATCAAAACATCATCTCTAACTATCATAATGACAACTAATCAAATTTTCTTTTCCTTAACATTCCTTTGCTGCTAACTGAAAAATTTCTCCTTTAATCTTTAATTGGCATTCTGATCAATGCACAAATACATCCCACAGCTCAGTGATAGAGCATTCAAGCAAGGCCATACAGTCATGTAGATTTAATTTCTGCTAAAAAACATTAATTTCTTTGCGAGTGTGCCTGTGTCACTAAACTTTCATAAATATATTGTTTCATCCAGTGCACTGAATGAATTATTTCATACCATAAAAAAGCAAAGGCTTTAATGACAAAATGTGGTTGTAAGGTTACTAGTAATATTTTGAAATTGATGCTTACCATAACTGATAAGGTTATCCTTCAAAACATCTGGAAAAACCTTTTGCAGTCTCAATGTCTGGAACCGAGTAAAGGCAGCTCCTAAGGCAACACAGATAAATAAAAATCAATTGTTCTCACAAAATAAGTAACACCACATTAAACTGCCCAATTATTGTTACATGTATCATGTTTCTTCAAAAAAAAAAGTTTGTCATCACTTCATTCTGTATCAAAACTGTTAATGAAGGATTGACTGCAGAAGTAGGACCAGAGTACATAAAAAAGACAAATTGTTGAGGTTGAATTTAGTAAAAGCAAAGCTAAACTAAGAGATCTGGCAAAAAAATGCACACTGGACCTTGCTACACTCAGCTCTTAAATTAAATGGACCCTTTCTAGCAAATAAAAGCCTGTTCAAGATTATAATAATAACCCAAGTCTAAGACTAGTCCTAATTCAGTCAGCAACGTTTGTTACAACACATCTCATTTAATGTCATCCTCTGCTGTACATGTACAGTGTAACACTGGACTTACTGTAGGTAACATTACCACAAGTGACAAAGAAAAAATTACCTATCCTTAGGTCAAGTTCCATCCTAACATCCACTGCTTGAGACTGTAATAAATCAGGTTCAACAAGGTTCTGGACCGCTCTTGAAACTGAGCTACAATTGTTGAAACAATGTAATTAAAAGTAAATAATAGTGTTCTCCACAATGTAGGTTGGTACCCAAAGAGAACATTTGAAACTTTTAGAAATTCATCAAAAAATACGCTGCAAATTTCCCATTATGTGTTACAAACTTTCAATTTAAGTAATAATAAGTACATCACTAAGGGTGATAAAACTGCTTTTACTCTCCTCAAAATGGGCCTGGAAACTGCTACTCAGATGTAGTATCAAAATAAGTTTAATAAAAGTTTAAAATTCCCACTGTTTGTATATTTTTAAAAATTTTGCGAGGAAGAATTCATCTAAAACAAAGGTGTCTCCAGCTACTTACCCAGGAGTAATTTCTGAGAACTTTGCACGATAAATTTGGATATTAGGACAGACTGCAAAAAATTAATTGAAAGGAAATTATGACATGACAAAAGTTGACTTCATTTGTATAATAAACACAGGCTTGTTCAAAATAGCATGATGTATTACTAGCATATAAACAAACAATGCAAGAAAGATCTCTCAACACTCTAAACACTTTAGTCCCCAGTATTGTTTGTACCCATTAGCTGAGTGCCTAGTACAGTCACCCACAGGGGAATGACTAGGTGACATCTTAATACAAGTTCACCACTTGATACAGGTTCCAGAGTGAAGGGTTCCATTAGAAACGACAACAATAACATCATTTCCTGACATAATATACCACTTAATGTGAAAAAAAAACCAAAAAAACACTAAAAAACACCACTAGCATTTATTTTGAGATATAAACATGGGCTAAATATACTTGAAAGATTACAGTTAGTTTTATCTGAGTGGTTCCATTTTACGTGACTGTTCAATATAAGTGAAAGACAATAAAAAACAGACTGTTGGGACCCAGTAAAGAGTGACCATGACCACTTGATAGAGGTGAAAATTACAGTGTTTGCTCAATATTTACAATTTCAAAAAACTCACTGCAATAAAAATGAAATTGCTTATTGTTCAAGTTTAGAATAAGTAACTTACCATTTTGACAAACAGTTATAGCTTCAAAGCCAATGTTTTCGCCCTCTCTATCACAATCAGTCCATATGATCAACACCTGACAGCCTCTCACCTCTCTTTCTAAAGTCCTCTGTGATTATCATAATTGTACAATTGCACAAGACATTAAAACATATAAATAATGTAATTTTTTGCATGAAAAGACTAGGGAGTCTTTTTACAGAAGGAATGGACAAAGGTAGTTGTGGGATCAGTCTCTCACCTTAATAGGCAGATAACTTTCTCCAACATATTTTGTAACTGGAGCACTAAAAAGGGCTACAGGAGCACAACTATACCTAAAGAAAGAAAAAATTAGGCCCACAATTTTAAAAATTATTTTAGTTATCAGAATAACATAATATATTCTTACCATTTTTGATGACTAGCTGTGAAATCTAAAGTCATCATATGTCCTGACAGTGATGTCATCACCATTTTAGCATTCTGTTTGAAAATGAAAATAAAAACAGTTAATAAGAATGCCATCCCTTGAATGGGGATGTGTGGATCGAATAAAGTATTTTTATAAGTAACTTTCCACAGAGCATCAAATTCTCCTTGCGTTTAACAGAGGAAAACTAGATCACCTGGAAGGAGAATCTACCTGCCCATTGTGACCCATTTAATTTAAGGCTTTTTCTTGGTGGTGGACTTCAGGTCTAGTATTTCATGAGGCTAAATATTAATACTTACACTTCCCAAAATGTGGTAGTCGAATTCATAAATCTTGTTGAACTTTGAGAGACCTTCTCTCTGTGAATGATAAAGAGAAAAAAGCTTGGTAAAGGTACAGTTAGGTTGTATACTCTCAAGTAATGTTAAAATATTGTGGAACCAAACTTGAAGTCATTACAACTACCAATCAGATAAGAGAGACACAACACAACAAGCCAATGAGAACTGGCCTCAAGCACAAGAAACCATGAGTGGCCAAGTCTTTATTTTTTGTGAATCTGATTGGTTTGAAGACACTGGCAAAGCTTTTATGAACTAATAACATTACCAGTTTTAAGAAGGGTGCATTAATTTTTAATTCTTTTTTCATACACTGTAACTCAGTTTGATGATTGTCATTTATTTCTAATTTGACGTTTTTGTGGAATATATCATATTCTCCTTTTTTTTTTCCTTTTTTTTTAGGTGGTCTGCCTTTGTATGGGGCCTATGACTCTTTTGTAGACTACTCTAATAATGATGTTGTTTATTGTCACTGAATTGTAATAAATAAATAAATAAATAACAAAGCAGAATAAAGTAAAAGCAATGAAATCCTAAAGCTATAGAGGGTTTTGCTTAACCAGGATGTACAGACGAAAATATTTACTACAGTGGCAATGTCCCGACAGAAGCTTACAGGATCGACCCCCTTATTTTTGTTTTTTTTTTTTCTGTTTTGTTTTGTTCAGTTTGAAACAAGCTAATAATTACTAACAGTGTTATATAATTATAAAAATCTGACACTTACCCTCAAACTGTGTCCTCGGGACATTATCCTAGACAGCTCTTTAGCCGCATCATTTTTCTCGGCAACATTCAAGATGCGCAATGGCCTCATGACTAATCCTCTGTACCAAAACCTTCTCGTAACGTCCAACACTCTGAGGAATTGATCTCCGTATTCAGCACTAATGAACGACGGGGGACGCAAAAGTTTCTGAAACTGAACTGCGCGTTGCAATGTCATTTGATCTTGAAACGAAGAACGGTGCCATAGCTTGCAAGTATGTTATTTCTTCAGATATATCTTTAAAATACCAGCAAGCTTTACATATTCCCATGAAAAGCATCTGTTGACCAAAGACTGCATTTCCTTCTCGAGCAAATCGTCCGCCATATTTAAATCAGGGCGCTAAAATGGCGCCATCTGCAATGCTTCTTGGGAATGATTAAAACGTTCCCAGTGTCGTATGGGATTTATTATCCAAGATGGCGGCTAAATTTAACGATACTAAGTGGAAAATAATATTTCTCTTGACAAATTCTTCCACGCAAGGACTCTGTTTGAGTACAAATGTGTGTTATAGAACCTCCTTTATTCTGGAACAATAAGAAAGTTGAGATACAGGGATAGGTGCGGGTAGATCTCAAGAATCCAGTCTTGATGTTTTCTACGTCGAGATCGCAGAGGCAGACTTTTGCAGATGGTGTGGCAAAATTAAAATCAAAGTCTGCATCACCCGTGCAAACAAAATCTACTAAGAAACAATCAGAGGAGAAACGAGTCCAATCCTCAACGAGTGAGAGGGAACTGGGAAAGCTAAGCGTGCGGGAGATTGTAAGTAACTGATGTTACTAATAGTTGGCAAAACATAATATACACTAATGTACTCTGCTGCATGCCAAAGTCCAAATTTATAAATCTTTCAATTTCAGATGTACAGGTTTATAACTGAGATTTAAACTGAAAGTGTATTTGAACATATAATAACAATGATTGGTTTGAGAAAGAGTTGTAACTGTTGAATACTTTGTCACTTGGCAATGAGTTGAAATTAATTTACAATTAACTCAAAACTATTCAGAAGGAAAAATTGTTTACATAAACTTCTTTTCATTCTAGGCAATAGCTTTGGCAGTGAACTGAAATTTATTTACCATTAGTTTAAAACTGTTTCGAAGGGAAAAAACTGTTTAAATAAACTACTTTTCATTCTAAGCAATAGCTTATAATAAGAGCTTATCTAGCTTGATAAGATCTGATGAACTCCTCCTTCCAAAATCTCCTCATCATCCGAATGTTTATTAAAGCATCAGTACCATAATGGAGGTAATTTTTTCCTGTAACAACCAACCTTCAAGTGATTCTAGCATCTTGCACAACTCTCAAGTCCGTGATCACTGCCAGGTTTATGTATGACTGACCTTGGAATTTTCCTGTAATGTTTGCTTGTACTAAATTTGACTCTTGAATGTCAAAAATGTTGCTGTTGTTAAACAATCGTGTATACTATACTCAGCTTGAAAGATGTCAAGAAGTTGACAGTGGAAGGGTTTTTGAGATCAATCTAAACAGACAATCTCTGGAACAAGTGCCAAGCCTAAAGGAGGTAAGTAGATTATCTCATATATAATTAAACAAGATACACATAAACACATCCCTTTATTGGCAGTTGAAATATGCATCAATTTTGTTAGTCATCATTATATTATGGGACTTTCCCTGTTCTGTCATAAAACCCAGTTAGAAATACACAACAGTACAGCTGTTTATAATTGTGAGCTGATATGTAAACTAAGAGTTCTTAGATTTTGTTTTAACTTTGTCAGATTAATAAATTAACTCGATAGAAGGATAGGACAAAAACTTCAGACCTGTCTTTAGATGTTTTTAACAATGTCACCTTGTTTAATTGCTAATTTTGTTCATTTGCTTTATTCAGTTTCCAAAACTTAAAATCCTGGATTTGGGATGCAACAAAATAAAGCACGTTTTGCCTGGTGACCTGGAGAAAAATTGTGTAAGTTGATTAACCATGTCATCATAAGAGTGCATATAATTCTTTCAAGGAAAAGCAGATTAATTACCACAAATAACTTCCAAGATATAACAATGAGGAAAGAGGAAGCAACAATTATTTTTGATTAAGATGTTAATATAATAATGCTATAATTGCTTGTGTGTATTCAATATAGGACACTACCTTTGCTGGAAACAGAATGTGCATATGCACAACTTAATTCTCTTTGAAGTTAATGATTTTGTGTGCCTTGGTCTAGTAGCCAAGGCCAAGCTTTGACCAGTCAGAAATGTTGTCATGCCACTTTTTTTGCTGGCTGCCCCTGCTTCTTTCTAGGTTTATTTAGAAAATCTATTTCTTATATTTTAGGATCTTAGAGAACTAAAGCTTTATGCCAATGAGATTATGGAAATAAGTGGTTTAGACAAGTAAGTCTGTATGTTTTTGGGGCTAACTCATGTATTTCATGCCACAGGATTGTGACACATCAGTGTTTTATTCTAGAAGTTACATTAAAATATTGTACACACTAATTTAAGAGTTTCATTTACAAGTTGTCCAATATTACTAGTAATTTTAAATGATATCACATTTTGAATGTTTTTTATTTTATTTTATTTTTTAAATTTCATTTTATATCCAATTCATTGATTTACCTCTATAATTGGTTCATTTTGAGCCCCATACTGAATTTTTCCTGACAGATTTATCATGGAATTTTGGCGTAAGCTGAATGTCTCATTGTAGCAGATGAAACAGAATTTTCAATTTATGACTGTCTACTTTCTCTTTGTCTAGTTGTAAAGAACTGAACAATCTTCTTCTACAACATAACAAGATTAAAAGCATAGGTAAGCTCACACACTTCAAGCTACAAATTTGAAATGTTTTTTAGAATGTGAGCAAGTAACCTTTATTGGTTTGCTGACCCTTTAATTCCTAAGATCTGATTGTTCGTTTTCCCCTCCAGCTGCTATACATCTCCTTATTAATTTGTTGATATTGCATCAAGATAACTTCTGCCTGATAAGTTTGAGAATTCTCATTACCTGTTTGCTTGATAATGTATGAATATTACAAGGAGAAGTTATATGTCAATCACTTGTGGGAGTTGAAGGGACCCTAACTCAGTTACAATACAGTTTGTAGGTATTGTCATCAGCTTTCTTAGACCTCTCAAAAATGACAACTTAAACTGAAATTTTATTGATTGATATTTCATGGTTATCTGTTTTTCTTGATTATTTTCAAGGCAAAGGTTTACAGCATGTGAGAAAACTCAAAGTTCTGAGGCTTGATAACAATCGTCTCTCCAAGATTGACTTCAGGGAGATTGGTTGCTGCTCACAAATAACTACACTGGACATTAGCTGCAATAATATCACAGATATTTCTGTAAGTTTATTCAATGAGTGACTTGTCACTTCTCCAAAAATATTTGGTCTTTTATATAATTATGTGGATCCTTAAATAATTCTGTGAAATTTTATTTCTGCTTTTATCATATATATTTAGTTACCACTCAGCACATCATGTCTAAAATTAATTTTGCACAAAACACTTTTTTATGCTTAAGACAATTAGATATTTCCATTATTCAACATACTGGGGTGTAGAAGTCAGGAGGGAGGATGATAGGGTGGATAGGGGGCTGTAAATGTTTTGGCAAGGCTCTATAACTTTGACCATGACATCATTCTCCATCACTGACCACCTACTTGGAGGTATGCAAAGTGGTTCTGCTGTTAAGGCATCTTGTTCACAACAAAGCAGTCTGCCAATCCCAGTTTATGTTAGATACCAGTAAATATATTGGTAACTGATAAGACCATACAAATGCATTGATAGTTATGTCATTTGCTTTTGGCAGGCCATCAATGCCCTTCCTACACTTGAAGAGCTGGATGTCTCAAACAACAAAGTCAGCAAAATTCCTGATTTGGGAAGATGTAAAAAGGTAAGAAGTTAAAAAAATGTGGTTTGACTCTCTTTTTACATGGAAGTGCACTGTTATTAAAAGATATTTAAATTTACGTTGTTGTTCAAAGTCACTCACCAATTTCTTTTAGATTCAAGAACTTGATGTCTCAAAAAATCAAATCTCAGATTTATCTGGATTGAGGAACATCTCTAGTTTAACTGTAAGTAGTTGGGAAACTGTTACAGTATATTAAGGAGCAGCTCAATCATATGATTTTGTAACAAGTTTTCTTTTTATCATTAATAGATTTTAAGAGTGGAAAATAATAAAATAGTTTCTATGGATTCTCTGGGCAAGTTGAGGTAAAGTTTGTTTTTTCTTGTTGTCTCATGTTGACCAACAGAAGAGTTGTGATCTTTTAGTTCTCCAAAAGCTCACTTAATTTTCATCATTCTCACTGAAATATAATTTTATGTAATTTGCAACACCAGCAATTGACATTTACTTGTAGTATTAGATGTATAAGATGTCTTTTGATTTCAGCAATAATGAGACTTTTATTATATTGGCAGGGCTCTACAAGAATTGTATCTATCAAACAACAGAATATCAGAAGTGAAGGTTAGGTTTATCTAGTGGCTTTGTGGAAGGTTTTTTTTGGTGTATTTCTTGAGCACTAAATGCTGCAGTAGTGCTGCTAGACAAATTTTATTTTTTTTTAATTATATATATTTATATTGACCACAACACTGTACATTTTTCTTGAATCAATGCTCATAAGGGGTGGAGAACCAAGGGAGTAAATGGTCATAGAATTAACCCTTTAAATCCCATGAGTGACCGAGACAGAATTTCTCCTTACAATATCAATACAATATCAACCAGATAAGTGATGAGAATAAAGAAAAAATATCAATTTGGGAATAATTAGTTGATCCAATAATAAATTCTCTCAACTAACATTATAAGAATTGTATGGTTGGCAGTGAGGAGAATTAAAAATTTGATCTGGGAGTTAGAGGGTTAAAGATAATTCCTCTGTCTGCAGTAAAGTCCTCCCAGGATTGGTTTACTCCACCTTGCTGTATTTCTATTGCAGTCGTTTGCCAGTCAGTTTTCATCTTTGGAAATCTTGGATGTGTCTAACAATGCCATTACAACTGTAGAAGAACTGGTGATTATCAAAAACATTTGTTTAATCCTCATATTGTTGTTTAACCATTCACTCACCAGATGATCTGGCTGATGATTAATTCTCAAAGCAATAGTATCCTTTGTTTCATTACAGTTCACATTGTCAAGCATTTCCACCATTGTAGAGCTAACTGTGGCAGGTAACATTTAGCTAGTTGTTTTTTTTTTTGTTCCCTCAAATAGTGATACTAACTTAGGTTAGTCTCCCATGACAATTCAAGGAATTCATGTT